TGGCACGTGCTCATGTCCAGCTTCCCCGGCTTCCCTTCGCCGAACGCATTGTCTGCGTCTTCGACTCTGAAATGGTAGCAATATTTTGTCAGGCCAAAGTCAACAGCCGGCAGGCAGCAGACGCCAGGACCCGAAAGACAAAGCCCCTCCCGGCGGGACGGGGGGGAAATTTACATTGGCGCTGCAAAGTATGCAACGCATATTTTTACATCACTTCTGTTTGCCTTTCTGCCAGAGCCACAGCTCGGCGGCAGGAGCATCCGAGAAGGGGGGCTTTACATTTAAATGTATTTATTTTTGCCGGAGCCAAAGGCAAAGCGAGAGCCGCACGACTCTTGAGGGCATGAATATGCCGGCAAAGGTGCGGTGCGGCCAAAGGAAGTGCCGGGGGACAGGCGAACGGGCTGACTGGTACCTTAAATTATTATATTGATAGCCCATGGAGGGACTGGGCTAATCTGATAATCATGTTAAGAATTTATTTCGCTTAACACACTTGTGTGTGTGGAGTGACGGGGATTTGCTTTAAAGCTACCAAAAATAAGTTAACTAAACTTGAAAATTTATTAAAGGTCTTGATAGAACTCATAGCATGATAAAAAAAAGTTAGGCTGCCAGCAACACCGATCCCATTTATATGCACTTTTCGCTAAACTTTGGCAGTTTTTCGATCTGCACGCCGACCACGTTGAGGACCTGCTGGGAGGCGAATATCCCCGTGCGGATGCAGTAGTCCAGGGGCATCCTCTGGACGAACATGGCCAGGAACCCGCCGACAAAGGCGTCGCCGCAACCGTTGGTGTCGAAAACCGGGCCCCTGGTCACCTTGGGAACGGGGTACTCCAGAACGCGGTCGTTGTCCTGGAAGACGAGCACCGGGCACACGGCATCCGTGATCATGACAATGCGCGGGTGGACGTTCGCCTTGGGCATTTTCTGCAGCCGAGAGCCAATCTCGAAGATGTTCTTCGTCTTCCAGTCGTGGGAGTCGGCGAAAGCGACGGCCTCCTCCTTGTTGCAGATTATGATGTCCACGTACTGGATGAGTTCGGTCACAGTGTCCTTGTGCATCTGCAGCACGAACACGGCACTAAAGTTGAGGATAGCAATTCGGTTGGACTCGGAACACATTATCGCCACTTGCTCCACGACATTGGCGCAGACGGCCAGGAAAAAGCCTGTGAAGTAGAAGAACTTGGCGCGTTCCAGGGCGCAGGTGTTCTCCTCGTCGTCAATCCAATCCTCGGTGAAGAGCGAGGCCGCCCCCAAGTTGGCCACCAGGGAGCGGTTCGGCCCATTGATGATCACCGCACAAGAGCCTGTGAAAGGTAAGTTCTAATTAATTTAATAGTAAGAAATTGTAGCATTTAAAATATTTAATAACCTCTTATTTAAATGTCTATAAGGCGGTCAAGTAATTTTCTGCCAAAACTCAAAATTCGATATAATAAGGGAAGGTTTTGCAAAATAAAACAAACCCAAAGTGCTGTTTCCTGAAAAGCTTTTGTCAATCACCTATTTTTGTAAATTTCCTAAATTTATATTATTGGCTCATCTGCAAGGCTATGTTAAATACATTTTTTCTTAAATTAAGGAATTTTTCCTAGACACAATAGTTCTTATCAGCCACTACATACAACGATATGTTGGACTAAGCAAGTTACTCACTCAAATTGATTGAAAATAAGATGTTGTGATTGCCTGATAGTACCTGTAGGCAGTTCCTCCTTCATCTGGTAAAGTGTTAGCAACCCATCGGCCCTGGCTCTCTTTTCGATGCGGTCGCCCAGCTTGTCCTTGCCCACGGCACCGCTGAAGACGGCGCGAAACGGAGTCTGCACGATCCACTGGAAGATCCTCATCGAGTTCTGACAGGCTCCGCCCGCCGAATAGATGACGTTCTCCATGTTCATCAGCTCGTCGAAGAGGACGTCGTGCTTCTCCTCGGCTACGATCGCCGCATTGGCATCCAGGCCGTACTTCTCCAGCATCACGTTGTCCTCGACGGTGCAGGTGATGTCCAGCAGGGGATTGCCAAAGCCCATCAGGATTCCCTCTGGCAGTTCCATTGTCGCGGGTTTTTGGCAATTGCTAAAGCTCCTAGGTGAAGTCCGAAATCCCTGACCCAAAAATGCTGGTGAAAATCGAGTGATCGGGGCTCTAATCAGCGACGGAAAAGTTTTTAGACTTTTGCTTAATATCCTCCAGGACATCCCTATAATAAGCCCCTCGTCGGTTCTTGAGAAAGCCTACCTAACTTCACGCCTATAGTTTGTACATGCTGGCCAACTATTTTGTACTGCTAGTTATGATGGATTTTACGAAATTTTTGAGTGAAGGAGAAAAGCCACAGCCATTGCCACTCAGCTCGTTGAAGAGGCCCAGAATTTATTCCCCTCGGTTGCTTAAAATGATAATTACCTGCATAAATCAATCAGGACAATTAATATTGTTGTGGCCCAATTTAATGTGCTATTAATTACGTATCCATCTTGTGGATGGAAGTATGTATAATTGCTCCGCAATTACGATGGGCTGGCAGCGCCGGAAAGGGGGCGGCATTGCGAGGCTTTTATTTTCATTTTTCTGCCGGAGATGAATGAATTGAATGTAAGTGGGCTTGACAAGCAGGCAGTGGGCAAAGGGGGGGGGGCGGTGAATGCAACCACCCAGAACGTGAATGTCCTTCCGCCGCCAAAAAAACATCATCAGTGACGCCGGCAGGAGGTTGGGGAGTGAAAAACAATGGCATTTGCAGTGCTTTGCACAAGTTGCCTGGCATAAATTTTAATTTTTATGCAGCACAAAAGCTGCAGAAGCAGCCCGAGCTTCCGACGCGCGTTGAAGCCACGCGAAAAATTAAATGACAAATTGAGCATCGAATAAAGGATACCTTGCCTAAATAATGTAAGTAAATATAAATAAAAGTCTTTAATTAATCGGCTAAAAATGCATATAAAATCCTTTTCCATTTTATTTTCAAAACTCACATATAAACGCAAAATTAAGTACGAAGGCTATAAAGCTACATATATTTATTTAATTCCCTCTATTTAAACTAATGAATTAACATAGTTTATATTTGTTTTAGCAATTGCAAATATTGAAGGCAATAAGAAAAAGGTATCAATAAAAAAAAGATATTAAATATAAATTGATTGCAAATGTGTATGCTATTATATAAAGTACATAATTTAGGTAGTTTAATGTTTAACACCTTGATTCAAAGAGCTGTAAAAGAAATAATTTACAGTTTGTTATCAATATTTGTTAAAGCTGCAAAATACCATCAACTCTGGGCATTAATTCCAAGTAATTTTGAAAATAAATTGTGCTGTGAAAATGTGTTTTTAATTTCGCTTTCAATTGGATCGCACACAATATAGCGCACTTTTTTGGGCAGGACGAGGTGGGCGGTGGGCGGTGGGTGACGATGGCGTCGTTTATCGCTCGCGAGCTCCGCAAAGTATGCAAGCGGTTTTTCACTTTGCTCCTGCTGTTGTTATTTTTGTTGCTTGCATATAGCAGTAGTAGTTGTTGTTCTTATTGCTTTTGTTCGCTGGGTAAGTACTTACTTATGTGCCAGGGCATTATTCTTGGCTGTGTTCCCTTTGCTAACCGCTGCCGCTTTTTCCTACAAGACCGGCAGTAGAAAAGCTTCAGCAGCAGGAGCGATGCCAGATGAGATGAAGATGAGAGGTGCAGAGGCTGGGAAAACCGCAGCGGTGACGTGGCAATGCAGCTGCATAATGTGGCATGCGGTTTGCATTAAAAATGATATTGCAACACGAGCCGCACATCTGCAGCTGTTTGCAGCTAGGCGCCGCCTGCAGTCACTGACAGCCGCATGGCAATTATAATCCACACTCATACACACACTCAAGCCCACACTACAGTGCACTGTCGCACGCACACTCATCCCCGGCTTAGGTCTACACTTGGAGAAAAACATTAAAGCTACCAGGGTAAAAAAAGAAAGAGAACCACATGGTAGAAAGCGATTAAAATTCCATTTTGAGGTATCCGAATTGGTAAAAATGCAAATATATTTATTTGAATTCAGTCTAATCCTGTCCGATCACCGAAAACAAAAATAAACAGTGAATTTATTAAGAAAAAAATATACAAAATTGTTGTTATTATAAAATGCTAGCTTTACAACAAAACTACTAACTATCGGAAAGTTTTGGTAGCTTTAGCAATGGGAGTCCTTAAGCTTTCATGGAATATATATAATAATCTGGTTAAATATTTAAATTGTTTGTTATTTTTGTTTTATTTTTATTTTGTTTGTCTACCTAATGTTTACTATTCTGTTTATTTTTTATTTAATTCCGGCGTATTTTTGTTGTCTTTGAACTGGTTCTCTTGGTGTATTAACCGAAAAATGCGAGGGAATCTGGAGCTGGGCCATGTAAGCAGCAGCTGCCAGTGACACACACATCAACATGACACCCCGTCGCTTGACAAAGCTTAGCTCAGAATCTGGGAGCTGGAAACTGGGAGATGGAGATGGCACCGCAAACCCAGACTCATGTACGCCTCCTCCCCATATCATTTTCCACACATCCAGGCACATTCACACGCTCGACATCTTGCTATTTGGGGATGAGCCGAGGAGCAGGATGTCCGCTTCCTTTTTCGCCGCCTCTCACGTTGTTATCTAACAAGCTTTTTATGTGATTACCTTTTGCCTTCTGTTAGTCTTACTATAATTTGGCCTTTACGCTTAACGAGATTGTTGTGAGGTGCTTCCAGCCAAGAATAAGGCCAGCTGACCAGATCCTGCATACAGGACACTCGCTCCATTGTACTGCACCCTGCCGTTGTTCCTTTGCCTTCCAGCTACTCAGACCCTAACAATGGCACTAAGTTTCAGTACTGTGAAGGGCGCCACGTCAATGTGGGCTCTGATGCGTTGTCAAGTGATAATCCCGTCACAGTACCTCCGCTTCCTGTGCGATTTCCACAGCTCAACAAACATTTATTCGTGCGTTTTGTAAAGGTTTTCTTTTTTTAAAAATATATTATAAAACAAGAATTTATCGGCGCGATGGGCATTCTCTGCCATTCTATCCATTATATCATCATCAGATCACTATGCGGAGGACGAGAATAACCGTGGCCAAGGAAAGCAGCAGCAGGTTGATGGAAAACCGAAAGATAAACAGACAATAATACATGACCTTATTGCGGTTGCCCGACGAGGGGCCTCATCCATTCGTGCTTAGCGGCGGGGCGGCGCGTCCATTCATTCGGTTCATTCTCTCGGCGTCTCGAACGACATAAATCGTTTATATGAGTAGTATTTCAAAAACACCTAACTCACCACATATAAAAAATTGTTTAACTTGACAGCCTAGGCACCGCCTTGCCTTGATTTTAGTTATTTTAAAAATGATAAAATTAAAAATTGTTTATTATTATTATAATTATTGTTCATAATAAATCATGTAATTTATTATGCACTGTATTTAATAAAATATTATGATTTCATATTTAATTTTAATATTTTATCAGTGTAGGATTTCGACAGCTTATATCATTATTTATGTTTAAAAACAGAAAGCTTTAAAAAAAGGTGTTCTTAAAAAATAAAAAAATCCCACAAGTCTTATTGCTTAAATTCAAAAGTAAAAATGTAATCAATCCAGACAAGAAAAAAAAACAATTGTAAATTAAGTAAAATTTATTGATGATTTTTTGATAAGCATGTCACCAAAAGTATAGAGCATTTGTCTACATTCCTAGTTTTTATATCCTTTTTAAACTGGAAACCTTTTCCGCGCTTGTCATCGCATTCCCAACCTGTCAAGCCGAACTGCTTCCCCATAATCGAAATCAGCTCAGTGTAACTTTGGCCTCGTGGTGAACCGATCAGGATTCGAAAAGCATACATATAAACATTGTTCTGTTAGTAATAGAAATCGTCTAGACACGGCTATGTCCAACTACGTTCCGTTCGTAAAGCCGTACGTCCAGTACAACGAGCACGGCTGGGGTCCGTGCGAGGTGCCCGAATTGGACGTGCCCTACCAGCCGTTCTGCAAGAGCGATCGGCTGGGCAAAATCTGCGACTGGACAGTGGCGGTGCAGGAGAAGAAGTTCCCCAACAAGTATGCCTCGACCTTCGGCAATAACAGCCAGTACGCGTACTTCCACGAGGACGACGACGACACCTTCCATCTGGTGGACAACAGTGGTTTGAGGGGCTTTAGGCCCTATCAGCGCGGTCGCTACCGCACGAACAATCGCAACAGTGTGCGGGCCAGGGGTCGCACGGGGCGTGGCAACGTCCAGCAGGGCGTGGCCGGAGGAGCCACCGCTGGGGGCGGGATGAGCAACATCACCAAGTACGGAAAGGGCCGTGAGACACGCCGGAATGTGGGTCGCAGATTCGGCCGCAATGCGCCCATCAGACTCCGCGAAAGTTCCGTGATGGTGCGCTCTAATTGGGTTTCGATCGAGGAGATCGACTTTCCACGCCTCCTCAAGCTCACACTTCCGAACATCAAAGAGGGCCAGGACATCGTCACCTGCGGCTCCCTGGAGTACTATGACAAGCTGTACGACCGAGTCAATCTGCGGAATGAAAAGCCACTGCTCAAAATGGACCGCATTGTGCACACCGTTACAACCACGGATGACCCGGTCATCCGTCGACTCTCTAAGACCATGGGCAATGTCTTCGCCACCGACGAGATCCTGGCCACCATTATGTGCTGCACTCGCTCGAACTACTCCTGGGATGTGGTCATCGAGAAACTGGGAGTGAAGGTGTTTTTGGACAAGAGGGACAACGCCCAGTTTGACCTACTCACCGTCAACGAAACTTCGCTGGAGCCGCCGATGGACGAGGAGGGCTCCATCAACTCGGCCCATAGCTTGGCCATGGAGGCCACGCTCATCAACCACAATTTCAGTCAGCAGGTAAATGAACTTTGACTTAAGCTTAAGTCTTTTTATTTCGGTTCTGTTGTTGACCTTAAATCAAGGTGTATTACACATTCATTTTAATTTTCAAGCATGCAATAATTTAGTTTTAAATTTAAAAAATTTAAGTCTTCAACTTTTTTTTTATTGGATAAACCAATTAAATATGGTAATCATGAATTGAATTGATTTGAATTGATTAAAAAAATTTAAAAAGCCTTCAAAGATGTTGAAGCAAATTAATATAAGTTTATTAGATATTTAGGATGTTGATGTTGCGATCATTATTTCCTCGTTAAAAAGATTCGTTTGATATTAAAAGTTCTCTTTGTGTTTCAGGTGCTACGCACGGGTGACCAGGACCCGCGCTTCAAGTTCGATGAGCCCAATCCCTTCGAAGAGCCGGGCGTGGAACTGGCCGCCATGGGCTACCGCTACCGCAAGTGGGAGCTTGGCAACGACATCGTGCTGATCGCCCGCTGCAAGCACAACGGGGTTGTCCAGGGACCCAATGGGGAGCTGCAGTTCCTCTCGATCAAGGCGCTGAACGAGTGGGACTCGAAGGTGACCAACAGTGTGGAGTGGCGCCAGAAGCTGGACACCCAGCGCGGAGCTGTTTTGGCCTCCGAGCTGCGCAACAACGCTTGCAAGCTGGCCCGCTGGACGGTGGAGGCTATGTTGGCCGGGTCGGATCAGCTAAAATTGGGCTACGTGTCCAGGGTGAGTCCGCGGGATCATCTGCGCCACGTGATCCTGGGCACGCAGCAGTTCAAGCCGCAGGAGTTCGCCACCCAGATCAACCTGAACATGGACAACGCGTGGGGCATTCTGCGCTGCCTCGTCGACATCGTGATGAAGCAGCCGGACGGAAAGTACCTGATCATGAAGGATCCCAACAAGCCGATGGTCCGGCTGTACGACATTCCGGAGAGCACCTTCGACTCCGACGGCGACGAGGAGGATGACTCCAGCGAGCCCTGTGCCCACTTCACCGGTAACTAATGTTTACACAAATTCATTTAACTAATAGTTGCTCGAATAATAATAAAACGATACGATGACAGGCGACACATGTCGCACTGACAGATGCGCTGCCAACACAAATGCAATTTAAATTGAGTTTTTGACCCAGCCCGAACCCGAGCCCGAACCCAAATACATATGCATATGAGCGGAGCTATCACATGTCAGGGGGAAAAAAGCAAGGGATCGGGGTGAGTGCAGTCACAGTTATTTGAGGATAACATGGCCACATCAATCACTGCGGTTCCAAGAAATACAGAATGAAACCCGGCTAAATAAATATGCATTGCGCAGAACCTCCCCACGATTACCGACTGACAATCACAATAATTGATCGGGGGTAGGGACGGAGGGCTGTTTGGTGGGAGATTGTTTGGCTGACAAACCTCAGGTTCAATAAATCACCGAATACGGCATCAATCAATGCAAATTCTGCTGCTGCTCCTGCTGCTGCTGTGGTGCTGCGCGTGTGACAATTTAAGCAAAATGTTTTCGTATTCAACAGCATTTAATTAAATTCATATATATGCTCAAAATTCATATGCATTCTGCCTTTTTGTTATTCGGCAATTTAATTTGGGCATTCACTGGGCACAAAAGTGCAGAAATTATTCCCTAGCGGAATTGCAAATCGCTCAACTAAATTACCAAAATGTTTTGCTCATTTTAATACCCTTGCCGAGGGTATTATAATTTCAGTCAGAAGTTTGCAACACACTGAATGAGACATCTCCGACCCTATAAAGTATATATATTCTTGATTAGCATCACTAGTCGATCGATCTACTATAGCATATAGTTCAATGAGAAATATTAATAATAATAACACAATCACCCTTTTAATTTTATTTAAATCGGAAAACAATGTCATATAGCTACCATAGGAGCGATCGAAAAATTGAGCTGAAAATCATCATAGCTTTAATGTTTTTAAATTAAAATTTAGATGTCTTCAAGAATATTACATTTAGCAATAGTTGCAAGGGTACATAAACTTCGGCTTGCCAAAGTTTGCTTCCTTTCTTGTTGTTCTTGTTTTCAGTCTGCCGGTTTCTTTTTTGTTGTCCGCCAAATTGAATTTAGACCTATTCAATTTGCATGAACAAGTCGCACTCGCCGAGCGGAAGGATGAGTGACCGAACAAAGTGTGTGAGAATATTTGGCGAATTCTCGGTAGTGAAAATTGCAGCAGATTATTTTTATTTCCCTGCCCGCAGCATTGTTGCGGTGGGAAAATTTGATTGATATAGCCAGGCTCATTAGTATTTTATTCCACTGCGCACTGCACTTCACTGATTAACAATGCAGTACATGAACCGACACATCAAGTATACGCACAGTTGGACAGTGAAGCACTTGAACTTGCCAGTAAGCAGCAGTGAAACACCAAAGTGTTATTCAATTAAAACATTTTGTTTGCTAAATCAACATGTGCGAGTGTGCACCCGGGATGCAGGACCAACTTACGGAATGACTTTTGCGGAAAGCTTTTTTAAAGCGTTTGCCGCAGAAAAGTTTGCTCCGGCTGGTTAGCTGCCCGAGTGGCTTCAGCTGCCGACTACCAAGTCCCAGCTCCCAGCCCCCAACTACCATCTACCATCCAGCTGCCACCATCCAGCAGCTTTAGCTACCAGCTTTAGCTTCTGGCCAGGACTGGTTATATGTGTGGCAATTCAAGGTCTGCGCTTGGCTAACCACGCCGTTGAAAGGCGTTTAACAAACTGGCAGGCCAGGCCAGAATAGGGCACTTGCCAGCGGCAACAACTCCGAGCCCAGCTCAAGTGGGGCCTTAACGCAAAACTTTGTACATTTTATCGCATATGCAGGGCTGCGGGCCATTCCAGGGGAATAGGTGCGGAGGTGCCGAGGTGCCGAGGTGAGGTGGTGAGGGATCGAGAAGCTGGTGGATGGCCAAGGCATTTGCATATGCAACCGCAAACACCGCCCGAGTGAAAAGTTAAGCGTTGAATGAGGGCGACAAATTGCAAATTAAACTCTTTTGCATTTTCCCAGCCCAGCACATGAGGAATAGTTGTAAATAAAACTGCCACACCCGCGTCAACTTTTCCACAACCCACTCCCACTAACCGCTCCTGCAACCTCTGGCTAAATTCAATTTCATTTCAATTTGCCCCACGCGCTTTTTGTGGGAAAGGCGACTGGGAGGAAGCCGTCTGAGCCGCATTAGGAAACCAAATGCGACTTAAAGTTGCCGCCAAAGCAGTTGGCTCCGGGCCCACTAGCCGTTTAAGCAACGGATTTGCCATCTTTGGACATTAGTTGGGGTCACGGGGGCTGGGATTTCGGCGCCCTGCTGAAGAGTTTAGGAATGTTTGTAAGCCAAAAGTTTTGTGTTCTTTTGGCCGGCTCGGATTTCGCCTTTGCCTTTTGGCATATTTAATTTGGCGTCTTGTGCCAGTTTCTCTTTTCTTTTCGAGGATCCTGTCAATTTTGTGACATTTGCTTTGGGCACCATTCACATTCACCGTTAACTTTTCAAATGCAGCTCATTTAAATATCATTTGTCAGGGTAAAAGTTTGCCACGAGTCAGTTAATAGAGGATAGCGGTTAGAGCCTCGGGGCTCAGAAGAGGGTTTCATTTTTTCAAACTGTTTGGGTAAATCTAAAAAAATAACTTTGTAACCCTAATAATAATCTTTGTCTTTGCTTTCGTTATATTGAAGGTATATATTATATCTTTAAGTATTTTAAATCAGATTTAATTAAATCTTCTTATCTAATATTTATTTTTTTTATTATATAAAGATTTTTCCCGTTTCACAGCAGCACTTACCTGATAAACTTTCTATCCTTTTCGCAATGCAAGTTCTTTGGGGGAAATAAGTTTGTTAGGTTGAGTTTCCTCCCCAATTTAATATATTTAAATTACCTTTTTGTGATTCATACGCACGACTAGACAGAGACGAGCGGACACAGTCGCTGCCAACAAAATGAGCATTGTTATCAATGCCGCAAACACCTCCATCAAAAACAACGAAAACAGCTTCTTCGCCTCATTTCGCCACGAATTCTGTTCTGGTAGAAGTTTGAGCAAACATTTTGACAAACTTATTTTTTCTCGCCATTTGAGCGAAAACTTTTTGGTGGCGGGAAGGAGAATAATGTCTAAAATTATGTAGATGCAATGAGGGATAACAGGAGCCCGGGAATGTGCACATAATTTGATGAAATGAATTGGTTGCAGTTGCAGAGCCAGCTGCGAGTTAACTGACAATCCGCCCAATGATTGCATAAAAAGTTCTCGGATCCCGCAGAATTATCACCCCACCCGGCCCAGGCCGGAAATCATTTTCCTTTTCCGGCCAGGCAAGGGATTTAGTTCGGGACCCAGCTGCCGATCCCCATCCTGTGCAGCCGCAAAAAAGTGGAATATTTTTCACGTCTCACTCGAGTCCTGCCCCTGCGCTTCTTAGCCTCAAGTCCTGACCAACTGCGACTGTGGAGCAACTTCTGTTTTACACATTTCTAATTCGTTTCCTGGTTGCGAACGAACGCCTGGCTGGCGGAAGGCTGGCTGCCAGGGTTACAAATCTCGAATGAAATTCATTGAATACTTGTCAAAAATATTCCAGTTTCCAGCGTAATTGGATTCCTTCTTGCCGTTGTCATCCCAGTCGGGCACATGTGCCCTTTTGCACTCTTGAATATTTTAGAGCAGATTAGAAATTCGAATGGCTCGAGGATATGCATCTTACCTGGTATTCAGATTTAAAAGTCACTGAATATTATTAGGGCTTTAAGTTCGTAATCATTACGACTATCAAAGTCATTTGTGAGTTTGGCCAAATATAAAAATCTGGCAGGTGGAAAACGAATGAGTAACACTTAAAGATTATAGTCATATGTCCACAACTAACTAAACTTTTTTAAAAAGAATGGTGTTATAATGGACTGGCTTAAACTGCCAGAATAGGGGGAACGACTGGATTTCTAAGCCAAAGTCTTCAATAAAGCCCTGCTCGAAGGTGGATTTTATGTTATGCAAATCAACGAAAAGATCAAAAGCAAAACATGATCTTGAAACGTGATTATTCTAGGCAGGTATCACTTTAAATGGCAAGAAGGAGAGGAAACACTGATGTGGCTTAACTTTGGTCCCGGTAAGTGGGGCGAAAAGTAAATCAACAAGTTGGATAAACTTGGCTGTCAGACACCGATGGAATATTTTAAGCACGACGAGCTCTTAACTGCTTTAAGTTTTCAACATAAATATCAAGTATACGCACCGGATACCCACATACCAACACCCACGCAGATGGCATAAGAATCAGGTGGAGGCGAAACCCAAATCCAGCTGCCGAGGGAAAAAACATAAGAATGAAAACAAACGAAACAGACAACAAAGTTGGTTTACTTTTGGGTTCGTTTCAGTTCTTTTGTACATTTCGCCACAAGCATGAAAATCGATTACCTGTTTGAAATGGAAAATACTCTTATATATATAGGTTTGTCTTCGAGTGGGTAAGCTGATTGTCTGACTCCCCCCTTTGGCCCGCAGCAGGGCAGACTTTGCATAAACGAATTGTAAACACAGCAGCGGGGAGGAGAGCACTAAAATTATGCCAAATGCGTTTTCCAGTTTCTAATTTCGGCATCGATCATCGATTGCGAAGTGAAATGCAACCCGCAGCAGACTTTGATTCCTTTTGCTCGAACACCAGCAGACATCGAGTGGCAATTTGCCATGAATTTGCTCAATTGCACCAGCTTCTGCTTCTGCTGATGGTGCAACAAGAGGAGCAGGACCTCCTTGTGTCCATTTGCTTGTCCGCTTTGTTTTTTATTTTATTTGCTACAAATTGGGTTTTATCATCTGCCCAATGCCGATGTTGGGGGACAGCTGATGCAGCCGTGATGACAAACATGTCCTTCTCTGCGAGCTTCCCAAGTTTCGCACAAAATTAAATTCCTTTTCGACCCCTCCCCAATAAACTGGCATTGTTGGATGGCCATCGTCGTATTTTTCATCACTCACTACTCTGCCAGTGTCCAAACAAAAAGGGAAAAAGCGAAGATGAGGTTCTGGGCTTTCTTGCTTGGCCCTTGGCTCAGTTGCACATACTCAATCACAATCTGAGTGCGGTGGCAAGTGGCAAGAAAAAGATCAAGTGCCACACTTGTTGGCGTCGCAAAAAGGAGAGTGATTATTCGGATAGTGCTTGAGAGAATCGAAAAGTTATCAAAGGTCCGGTGCTTTCTATGATACAATCAGGCTCATCTAGATTTATTGCAAAAAATAAAGTGCGCCTAAATATTTCAATAAGATTGGAACTCGTATAACATCAAATAATAACCAATCAGTTTAAAAGTAAAATAAATTTAATGTAAATCAAATTAACTACAATTTTTGTATATAATTTATTTATCTTTGATATTTTTATTGG